TTTCATCTTTTAAAAATACCATTAATTAACTTCATCATTTAGACACATTTTTCATTAATATAAAACACAAGGGAATTGGTACACATGTGCAATCTGTAAACATATTATATCAGAAACATAGATAAATAGACATACTGTTTTTCACAAACATAAAACCACCCAAAATGTATTAAAAACGGACCACTCTCAAATGGTTTACCCCCAAAGGTTTCCTACAGCTCCAGATCTCCAGGTCGCTCAGTATTCAGTATTCAGCTTCTTAAACGGAGTGTCAGGAAGTGCAGATTGACGTCAGGCATGGATGCCGCTGATTGGCTAGAGTGGTCAGCTGACGCTCTAAGCCAATCGCTAGTTCCCGATTCATAAAAATGTTTTACGCTTTCATGAATGGGGAGCTACTGATTGGCTTAGAGTGTTAGCTGACCCTCTAGCCAATCAGCGGCACCCTCTGTGTTTCCTGACACTTAGTAAATTAAAGTGAACACATTAACACTGATATTTTTTTTTACTTGGGGAGATGAGAAGGTCCAAAGTTTCCCTGCCAGGCCCAGGTACCAAAGCCTTATGATGTGGTGTCCAGAATGAAGTGCTCCAATCTCATTTTCTTCTCCTTCATTTGACACAGTCTTCTTTTTTTTCTGAGGCTCCTTCTGCAGAGGCGGCTCTAGACTTTATGAGGCCTTAGGTGAAACTCAAACATGTGGCCCCACTAACAAAAAAGTGAAAAAAAATAGAGTTGCAATACATGCACACTGTCACATATACACATTGATGCACAGTTTACCTGTGTATGTGCCTGAGAGTGTGTCTGACAGAGTGTGTGTGTGTCTGTTAGCATGTTTGCATTTTTGTCTGGTACCCTATGTGTATGGGGTAGCTGCTTGAAGAGGGGGGTGATGGTGAGAGGGAGAGGCGGGTGATGGTGAGAGGGAGAGGCGGGTGGGTGATGGTGATGGAGGGGGTAATGCTGCTGATGGAGGGGTTGATGGGGGTAATGCTGTGGGTGGTGAGGGGGGGGTGATGCTGAGGGTGGGAGTGATGGTGGGGGTAATGAGGGAGGGAGTGATGGTGAGGGGGTAATGCTGAGGGAGGGAGAGAGTGATGGTGAGAGGGGGTAGGGGTGGATGCTGAAGGTGGGAGTGATGGTGAGGGGGAAATGCTGAGGGATGATGGTGGGGGGAGGGAGGAGTGATGGTGGGGGGTAATGCTGAGGGAGTGATGGTGAGGGGGGTAATGCTGAGGGAGTGATGGTGAAGGGAGGTAATGCTGAGGGAGTGATGGTGAGAGGGGGTAATGCTGAGGGAGGGAGGGAGGGATGGTGAGGGGGGTAGCGGGGGTGATGCTGAAGGTGGGAGTGATGGTGGGGGGGTAATGCTGAGGGAGGAAGTGATGGTGAGGGGGGGTAATGCTGAGTGAGGGAGTGATGGTGAGTGGGGAGTGATGTTGAGGGTAGTGAGGAGGTGATGCTGACGGTGCTAAGGAGGGGATAGTGAGGGGGGTAATGGTGAGGGGGTAATAGTGCCCCCCATGCCTCACTTACCTGCTCTGTGGGCTGCCCCCCCATCCCTCACCTACCTGCTCTGTAGGCTGCCTCCCTCCCCCATCCCTCACTTACCTGCTCTGTGGGCTGCCCCCATCCCTCACTTACCTGCTCTGTAGGCTGCCTCCCCCCCATCCCTCACTTACCTGCTCTGTGGGCTGCCCCCCCTCACTTACCTGATCTGTAGGTTGCCCCTCCCCCATCCCTCACTTACCTTCCTTCTGTGCTGCTCCCCTGCGGTTTCAGCCATGAGCGAGAGGCAGGGATAAGCTGGAGCTTCCTGCCTTTTAACATTTAACATGGCCGGCGCCGGTATTGCAGTGTATTCTCACACAAGCCTAAAATAGCAGCACAAGCTGAAAAATCCAGGGGGGGGGGCAAGTGCCCCCTCTGCCCGACCCATGCACCAGTTCTCTAATTTTTCTCATACAAATACACCCTTGTGGAACATTTCATATCATATAGTCATTATTTGGACTATTTTGAAGAATATTATCGTTAGTATCAAGTTATCACATTTTTTATTGTTTGAATAATATATGGATTTATGTTAGTATAAGCTCCTGGATACTTTTTAATCTATTTGTCTGTATATATGTATAGGATTTGATGAGGTCCTATATTTCTAGTTTAAGAGCTTTTTAATGAATAGTCTGTCCTATTCCCTCTTATCCATTTTCTAAACAGCCATTTTTGACTATTAGAATCTAACCACATTACATTCTTACCTGATCTGCCTACCGACTACTCACCTGCTTGACCTGGCTATGATTAAGGACCTTTCTGTTTGCCTCATTCCTGGTACTGCATGCACACTCCATCGCCTCAGGACTCAAAGTACCTCTCTTCACAGGCTACCCAGCCACTTCCCCCCACGGACTGTCATCTAGCTGTGCTCACAGTAATATAAGGTCAGATCCTTTCCTTTGCACAGCTTAACTGATAAGCTCTATGTGACGGACCACCTGGCACGCCGAAAGGGTACCTCCGTTAATCCTTGCTCCTAGTGCTCACCGAGGACTCCAAGCACTCCACCAGACACCATAAGCACTGTAGACCCCACAAACTGCAGCAGCTTGGTTGGGGTCTCGCCGTCATCCACCCACCCTGGACCCAAGACCAGGATCTAGCTTCCAGTGCGTGAACCTCTCCTACTCCAGAGGAGAGCGTAGCAGGAACAGCCCATATAAGAGCTAGTGATTAGAATCCAGGGGAGTATAAGGAGTATAGCAATCCCCAGTGTGAATATAGCTGTCCCCTCCACAGATGAGATGAGACTCTATGTTGAGGGTGAAGAGGAACTGATTTTAATGGTGCAACACTTGGCCTTATATGACAATCCCCATGCAAGGGGTACGCCCACATGGACCTTGTTGGGGACTTCAACACAAAGTCACAGACCAATCATAACAGTGTTTAAATGCACTCCTATAACAAACATACAATCTTTCCTCTCTGCCTTAGAGATAATTGAGTCAGATACTGTATTAACCCAATTATCTCCAGGCAGAAAAAAACACACATTTCTATAAAACACATAGTATCTCCACAAATGTTACATCCCCTAATAGCCCTGATCTGGGTGACCAGCATATCCAAAAATCACCCAGATCAGTTCAGGGGTTCAGAAATTTTATGGAAGTCATTTATTTGACCGACCAAAAATTTGAATATGTTGGTCTCCCAGATCGAGGCTATCAGGGGATATGTGATTTGTGGGAATACCTGTTGTATAAAGGGGTGTTCTAATTTTTGGGAAAATTGTGTGCCCTCTGCCTGCAGATAATTGGGTTATTCCTTAACTTATCTCAATATCTCCCAGACAGAGAGAGGGAGTGTGTTACTGTAAACCTGTACTCTGATTGGTTATTTTCTTTGTGTACCGTGGGAGGTCCTCTTGCAGGAGGATTCTCATAAAAGCCAGTGTGGCATCAATAAAAGTTATTCCTGTTACACCCTTCATGAAGTCTAGGCTCATGCTTGGGGAATATTCTACTTGCTGGGGAGAATCATCTTGGAAGCTGCATTCATCTACACTATTCCTCTACACCCTAACTGCAGTTATAATCACTTATGCTCAGCTATTGGGAAAGGAATAGAAGATCGCAGTACCATAACCACTGCAGGTATTAACATATGTTAATACATTATCTACCTTAATTGGGGAGGCATTGTGTGCTGTATGTGGGAGTGTTACATTGATTCTATTGGTCTGTACAATTTGTGTCCTGTGCCCCATCAGGTCCATGGGTGTTTCTCTGGCCTGAAAAGTTGTATAAAAAATCCAACCTGTACCATTAAACTCTCAGATCATCTTGCACCTTCATGAAGTCTTGGCTCATGTTTGGGGGACTGGAGAACTTCATACACTCTGAGGATTGTTATAATCACTATACTCCCCTGAGTATAATCACTAAGCTCTTGTAAGAGTTGTTCCTGCTACGCTCTCTAGACGAGGAAAGGCCTACCCAATGGAAGCTGGATCCTGGTCTTGGGTCCAGGGTGGGTGGAGGACGGGGAGACCCTAACCAAGCTGCGGCGGTTCGTGGGGTGTATAGTGCTTATAGTGTCTGGTGGAGTGCTTGGAGACCTCGGAAAGCACTAGGAGCATCGATTGACCGAGGTACCCGGTCGGGGTGCCAGGCGGTCCGTCACACAGCTCTGGCACTATCTCTGTGTGAATATTCAAACTATTTAAGTACCGTTGACAGTTTCTCTGGTTGAAGAAGACTGGAATCAGAAGCTGCAACCACCGATTCCCAGTGAGATCCAGGTATCCACTATAAAGAAATGCTTTTCATGGGTGTCCCCCAAATTTTACCACATGACAGGTGGCACCATATTTTGCATAACTCTCTTTACTGTAAAATCCAGCAGCACAGATCATAAGAGAAGCAACCAATCAGAAACAAGTATCTAAATCCATAAAAGGCCCTGCCAGCCTGATCACTTCCTCTTTAATTGCTGCTCCTGCTGGCACTGGTCAGAGTATTTTACCTAGTGATTCTCTTACTTGTTTTAAGTTTGTTATGCCTTAGATCAGAGGTAGTCAGCCTTTTAATACCTACCGCCCACTTTTGAATCTTTGTTGATGGTAAAATTTCCTTACCGCCCACCAGTGCCACAGTAACTAATTTTATAATGCAAGTGCGACTTATTTTTCTACTTTTTTTTTTTTTTAGAAAGGATTTAAAAAACAAATGTACTTTTATTTTAATTTTTTCTCTTTTCTATTCTATTGTTTTTCTATGTGTGTCTGTGAGGTGCTGTGTGTGTGTGTGAGAGAGCGAGAGGTGCAGTGTGTGAGTGGTGCAGTTTGTGCGCGAAGGGTGCAGTGTGTGCGCGAAGGGTGCAGTTTGTGCGCGAGAGGTGTGGTGTGTGAGAGGTGCAGTGTGTTTGTTAGTGGTGCAGTGTGTGTATGTATAAGAGGTGCTGTGTGAGTGTGAACGGTGTTGTAGTTGTGTGAGGGTGGAATTGTGTGTGTGTAGGTAGGGTGTGTGTGTGAGGGTGACCATGTGTTTGAGGGGGCAGTGTGTGTGTGAGGGGGCAGTGTGTGTCTGAGGTTCAGTGTGTGTCAGAGGTGCAGTGTGGCAGTGTGTGTGAAGCGGCGCAGTGTGTGTGAGGGAAGGTGGGTGAGATGTGAAAATTTATCTTAATGTCTCCCTCTCCCTTTTTCTTAGCTTTTACCAGAGGCGGGGGGATATAATGCTGCAAGCCCTGGTGGTCCACTGATGGCATGTTCACTTTAGTCTGCAGCTCCTTTGGCTGCAGGCTGACTCTCCTGTCCTCCTGCGAGCACAGCACTGAATTGGAACGTTGACATAGTAACGCGCGGCAGCGCACCGTCCAACCTGCTCACGGGAGCCTCCCAGGCCCTGCCCTCCCTCTGCTGGAACTAAATGCCAGCGGCCCAGTGAAGCAGATCTTTGATTTCCTCACCAGCTCGAGAGAGGGAGATCTTTTCTCACCAGCAAGGCTGTCTCTGCATGGGCCAGCAGGGGAGATGAAAGCCAGCCTTGGTTCATGACGAGATCGAGGCCCAACGGACATTTTCTAAAGAACCCACCACCGCCCACCTGAAATCCCAAACCGCCCACTAGTGGGCAGTAGGGACCAGGTTGACTACCCATGTCTTAGATTGTTTGAGAAACACTAGTACTTTATTAGAAGTTAAGTAGATATTGATTCTTTGTCCTCCCTCCTTCTCATCCCCTTCTTAGAACTAGTTCTATACTATATTTGAGATTTCCCTTCTGTGACCTGTCTCCTACCTCAGAGCCGTGTTTGCCTGCTTTTCAGTTAATCTCAAGCGCGACGCTGCCCCCGAGTGCCACGTCCACGCTTTTACTTTCACTTTCTGCCCACTTTGCCAGACTCTGTGGGGATCCAGAGGGTGGTGGGGACGCTATTTATTCATGGCCCGCGGCGACCTGTGACCTTCTAGGATCTTGTGAGTACCGTGAGATTCACCGTGGCCATCTTGTTTTCCATTCCAGATCGATATTACCGCGATCTGGCTGCTAGGATCATTTACCTGCAGCACATCTTGTCCTGGAAACCCCTGCAAGTGTTCCTTCATACTTACCAGGTAGCTGCTTCTACACGAACAGTCATATATGGGGAAGTGCTTCCTGTATCTGTATAAATACACTGTGACATACCAGTTACTGAGGATAAAACCTGTTTACACTCTACTGTATTAGAGTATCATACAAGTCACTGTGCCAAAATTATAAGTTGCTATTTGTGGGAGTCCTTTGTTGTACATGGCACACCATGGTATGAGCCCCCATGGTGAGCCCCCAGTTATCTCTGGGCTAGATTCTGCTCAGGCAGAGGATACAGGGGTGAGCCCCCTCTCATGGTACCCATATAGTCCAGTTCAGAAAACGCTGTCGACATATACATGAATGGTTGGTGACCACAGAAGTACAACCCTGACGTACAACTGGGATGAACCCCTCTTTTCCATACGCATCACCTGGCAACTCTAAAGAGGGAAATACCTTCAGTGGTGTGTCCCGTATAAATATATATATATATAAAAACTTCCACATTTCCCATATGACGCAAGGAAAACCCCCTTCCATACATTAGAGGGTGAGCCCCTCATATTGGCACTGACATCTAGAAATAGTCCCGGAGTGTCACATTTAGCATTGGTCAATCTCTGGACAAGCCCTAGTTGTACCAGGACCCTGGCACATGTGGCTCAAATCCACTCAATGTCACTGTTTCCCAACAGGTTTACTGATCAATTGATCAATCCCACTGTGGTGCTGCCACAACCTGCAGATGTGGGGTCACCAGACACAGAAGCCCTTAGAGGACCGGAGGCTTCCAAGAGGCTGGCAGGTCCTAAACGCCACTGGAAAAGGGCAAACTACCCATCAACCAGAGTTAAGCGCAAAGCTCCTTTCAAACGTTTTAAAAGAGCTGATAGACTGGAACTACCCCGCCTTTCAGACAAGGACTCCTATCCATCACTATCAGTGATGCATAAATGGCAAGCGGAGAGATCGCCTCAGAAGAGGACAACTGGCAGGACTTATTATTATTATTGCCATTTATATATCAGATTCCGTAGCGCTTCACAATACTTGTCCCAGTCAGATTCCCTATACATGAAGGAAATGGTGTTGGGGGACGACTTCCAAAGGACGGACACCAACGCCCAACCAACCAAGTGCACGGAAGAAAGAGTCTTCCTGGGGGAACCTTTGTTTGATTCAAGCACCAGGCACCCTAGGTCATCGGAGTGGTCCCTACCCGACCATCTAGTACAATTCATGCATTTTTGGTTCCGCAAGCCACTAGAGAGAGAAGTACGGGCCAAACTCAGGGCCGAATACCCCCGCCCACTCCTTCCTGACAAAGTCGTACTCACACCCGATTTCTATACAACAGTGGTGGTGTTTATATCCTGATCAGGCCGGGACCCACATAAAGGCATCGAGAAAGGCCTGAAGTTGGCACAGGATAAGTTACTGGACCTTCCCGGCCAGTTGGTGAAAATGTTATACTTCCAGATTTGGCCCTCACTCAAGGCACTCAGTTGGATCCCAACGTCATGCATGAATGGGCACAACGTGCCATATGCATGTTGTGCAACACTAATACAGCGCTCTGCTCCAAAAGATGGAAATTATTGGACCTCGGCTGCAAGGAATTGGGACCTCTGGCGAATGGGCTTCGCTTCGGAGAGCCTTTCATAGCGGAGTTGAAGAAACATGTCAATTTATTCACCACTTTGAACAAGGCCCAAACTTTGCTCAAGCAAGTCTTCCGCTCCCCACCCGCACGGGGCCGAGTCACTAGTTGTTTCTGGTCCACGGGCTGCCTATCAGCAGTCTTCATCTTTTTTCCTGACTTCCCCACCAAGACCCTCATTCCACAGAGGCTCGGACAGAGCATGAGGCGCTAGAGGACAAGGCCGTGATCGCTTCTCAACAGGTGAGCCTTGCATTGTCTGCTCCTATTACCATTGTTACTGCAGGCAGGTTGTCCCTTTTTTCAGAACTGGAAGACTATTACCACAGATATTTGGGTCCTGGAGACCGTTCGAGAATACGCCATCGAATTTCATAAGTGGCCCGCACAGGCTTTCTGCCCTCATCCACTACAAGTGTCAAAGTAACACAGCCATCTTCTGGATGAACAAATTATTTCCCTCTTCGACAAAAGTGCTGTCCAATTCGCTTCGGATGGAAGTGGATTGTTCAGCAACATCTTACTGGTCAAGAAAAAGACGGGAGAATATTGACCAGTCATCAACCTTCTTCAACTCAATGGTTTTGTGATATACCAACACTTCAAGATGGAGGCTATCCACCTGCTTCGGTACCTTCTACTGGCCAATGACTGGTTCACTCGACTCAATCTCAAAGACGTGTATCTCTCGGTGCCTTTAGCACCAGAGAGTCACCGATTCCTATGGTTTGTTTGGAGGCGACAGGCTTGCCAGTTCACGTGTCTTCCGTTCAACCTCAGCTCAAAGCTTCACAAAGCTACTGAAGCTGGACATGTTCAATTTTTGAGAACAAAAAAACATCCATTGCCTTATATAGCTGGACAATTTGCTGATTTTCTGTGATGCAGTGTCCAGACATTTACTTTCTAGAGCCCTTAGACTTCATTGTGAACCGTCATCCGGAGCCTCGCCAAGGGTCTCTCCAATTGCTGCATCCTGGAGCCCTGACGGAGGCAACGAAGGACATCTACAAATTCTGCCTCTCCCGCAACATCACCCTTTGGGCGGAATATCTGCCAGGGACCTTCAACCTCACAGCAGGTTCATTCTCCCGCCACTGGCAGGACACCAGCGACTGGCGGTTAGACGGCTCGATTGATGACCTGACATCCCTCAGATGACCACTAAAGGTGGACTTTAGCTAGATGGATTTGCTGGTTGTTCTTCATGGCTGGGGTAGAATCATGTTTTGGTGCCCACTCTGTCCGCGGCGTGGCTGCATCACATGCTTTTTCGGCGGGTGCGTCTCTCTCGGACATTATGAGATGTGCAGATTGGACACAAGAATATACTGTAATGGATCACCTGGCACCCCGACTGGGTACCTCCGTTGAAGGATGCTCCTAGCACTTCCTGAGGACTCCAAGCACTGCAGCAGACACCAAAACCACCGAACCGTAGGAGCATATGAATGCTCTCAAGCATATGAATGTTGTATACAGCTGAATAGGAAAAACCATGCGAATAGGTTTACACTCCTAGCAGTCAAACTGGAACAGCATACAATAAATCCTCCCCCAATAATGAGACGACACTTCACTTTGAGGGTTAAGCAGGAACTGACTGGACTGGCACACACAGCTTCTTTTATTCCCAATCCACAAATTTAGTACTGCCCACAGGGTTTTACAGAACAACCAATAACACGTACAATACACTCAGACACTCCCACACAAAATCCTCCCCTCTGCCTGTGATACAATTACCTTACACAATGGGTAATCTAATTATCACAGACAGAGAAATACAGTTTCATAAAACATATCACAGGGACCCCAAAACATGCAATAACCCCATAAAAACCAGGGGATCTGGGTGAACCACATATACAAAATTCACCCAGATCCGTTCAGTACTTTGGAAGATACAGCTTAATGCAGATTCTGCAGAACATATACAGGCTAAATGAAAAACAATCATTGTATAATGTGTCCCCTGCTGTATAGTCCAGAACCACTGCACGATGTCTCTGTGAATCAAATACTGGCGAGATGACACCGTGTTGAAAAGTCCAAACAGTGTCTGAGAGTTAAAATGGCCGCCATCCATTGTTCTCACCATGTGCCTCTGATACAGGAAATGGTGGCCACCCAGTAACTCCACAGTATGTCCCCAGATGGTTCTTAAAGGGCCAGCAGCAGCACAACACAAATCCATTATGCCCAAATCATGTCTTTAAAGGGCAATACATCCCAGGGGCCATAGTCACATGGCAGGAGGCTGGCAATCAGTCTTCTCCAATGTCCAGTGGCGAGGTCGGTCTCGCCACATATACTTTCTGTGCTTTTTACTTTAGACAATCTTCTCGGTTTCTTTCACTCTTCTAAATTCTCAGCGTTAAAAATGCAAAATATGAAGCCTCCTGTTGTGGTAAAATTGTAGATTATGCTAATGTGGTGTACCTATAATCTTAAATTTAGTAATGACAGGAGGCAAATATTTT